AAAATTGAAATGTCAAATTATATGAAAATAAAATTTCTAAATCTAAGGTTAGTTAAAAGTAAGAGTTTTAAATNTATTGAGTAAAAATTAATATTTAAAATTGAAATATCAAAATATATGAAAATAAAAATTTATAAATCTAAGGTTAGTTAAATGTAAGAGTTTTAAAAATTATATTGAATAAAATAAAAAAAAAATGTTATTTTAAAATTATATTTAAAAAAAATAATATTGAAAACGAACGTGTTTTTTTTTTTATTACCATTCCTCTTCAGGAATGCCTGTGTCTTGATGAAATGCACAATGGTTTGTGGGATATTGGTCTTCAAAGCAATTTTTAATATATTTTATTGTGTTATTAAAGTCTTTATTTTTTTCGAATTTATATGGATAATAATTGATGCTGGCAGTGTCTATCATAAGATGGTGTTTGAGGATGACCTTTTTAAAGTCACGTTGTGAATTTAAATACCAAATGTCATCCTCATCAACCGATTTGTTAGTATTATTTTTTTGAATTTCTACGTCATATTTGTCTAAAATTCGAATCTCAGAAAAGTCTGTGACAGCACCAATTTCCAAGACTATGTAAATTAAATTGATCCAGTAGTTTGTGCTAATTCTTTTTGGAGACATAGTTACACTTTGGTCAGCTATTACCCTCAACCATTGGACATGACCCCAATCACTGTACATTCCTACCCGGTGTGTACGGTTATACGCTAGTCTCAATTGAAATTCAATATCATACTTGGAGTAGTGAGAGAGTCGCTCACTTAGCCAAGCAATTGGTTTACTTTTAAAGTAATTTTTTACGTCCATTTCCCAAATATTTTGATTGTCTATTATATCAGTGCTTCTCAAACTTTTTTGTCATGGGGCCCCCCTAAATTTAATGTGAAACTGTCAAGGCCCCCTTAATCAAAATCATTAATTATTTTTTCTTAATTATATACTAAAACGAAATGGACTATTTCACACAAATAGATTATTAAAATGTATAGTAAATAAATGTTTTTAATATATTTTTGAAACAATTTTATAATAGTATTAAACTTTAAACTTATATAAACTTCAATTAATTGGTAATAAAAAAAACAATACAAAAATATTCAGTAGTAATGTTGATGATTATTAATGTGACGGGTGAGCTTGCATATTTTCGCATAACATATTTATGTCCGGTGTGATATTTGAAACTGAAATACGCAAGTTTGCTTCTAACGACTGTTGTGAAATGCATGATCTATGTTTGTTTTTTATAATTTGAAGTTGTGAAAATGCAGTTTCACAAAGATATGTCGATGCGAAAGGCATTAATATAAGTAATGCCGCTTTTGAAATTAATGGATACTCTTGCTGTCGTCTTAACCAAAATTCAGTAAGTTCTTTTTCATTAAATTCTGTTTCAAGAGTTGAGTCTTCTCTAATTTCAATTAGTTGCTCTTTTGCGGCCCATGGAATATGATCGTATTTTAAAGAAATAGAAAATGGTATTTTTACCCAATTTAGTTCATTATCTTCATTTAAATTTGGAAAATATTTAGATAAAAATGTTAGCATTGAAGACATATGGTCAGTTATTACACTTGAAACTGAAATTGCTATTGAAAGTTCATTAGCAGTAAGAAAATCATGTAAACTCGGAAACATTGAGGAATCTCCATTGTTAAATGCATTTAACCAAGAAGATAATTTTTGATTAAATGCTTGAATTTTTGAGGTAAGTATTAAAATGTTTGTACTTTTACCTTGAAGAGATAGATTTAATTCATTAACTTTATCGAAAAAATCTGCTAAATATGAAGCTAAACACATCCATTTTTCATCACTTAACAGTGCAGATAAATCTGGTTTAATATCACAGAGAAATATACGGAGCTCATCACTTAGTTCTATAACTCTTTTTAAAACTTTACCTCGGGATAGCCAACGAACGTCAGTATGGAATAGTAGTGTATTATGGTTGGATCCCACATCTTCACATAAAATTTTAAAAAGTCTTGAATTAAGAGCACGGCTTTTCACAAAATTTACCATTGATACTACATCATTCATTATTGAATTCAGTTCACAGCCAATTTTTCGAAAAGTTAAATGTTCTCTATGTATAATGCAATGAACAAATTTTACATCAGAATTAACTTTCATCACTTCTGCTTTAAACCCTGATATTTTACCAGTCATTGCTGCTGCTCCATCTGTACATACACCAACACATTTGGACCAGAATAGTTCGTTTATAAGAAAAAAATCATTTACTTTTTTAAATATATCTATTCCTTTAGTTGTCTCAGAAAGAGTTTCACAAAAAAGTAAATCTTCATTTATTTGTAGATTATATTGATATCTCACAAATACCATTAACTGGGCATTATTTGTAAGATCTGTTGATTCATCGAGTTGTATTGCAAAAGTGTCACTTCTTTTAATTTGAATTAATAATTGAGATTTTATATAATCTCCCATACAGTCTATTCTTCTTTTAATAGTATCATTAGAAACAGGGATGGACCGTAATGCCTCTGCAATTTTATCACCGTGTACAATTTCACATATTTTTATTGCTGCAGGTAAAACCAAGTTTTCTCCAATAGTAAAACTTTTTTTAGCTTTACTAATTAGTAAAGCCATTTCAAAAGAAGCTTTAAGAAGTGTATTATTTAAATTAGTATGTTTATCAAAAAAAACTACTTGCCGACTTTGTTCTGATGCTTTTCTTTCGAAAAAATCTGACGTTTTATTTTGGTGTTCGGGGTGCATAGTAATTAAGTGTCTACTTAATTTTCCAGGTCTCATGCAATCGTTTGAAAGTGTATTTAAACATATGACACACATTGGTCGTTCTTCCTTATTTACGCATGATACAATGAAACCAAATTTTATATATTCTGAATTGTACTTGCGTTTTTTTTTATTATTAGCAGGCAAAAATTCATTTTTTTTTTTTTATTGGTTGTTGAGCTAGAACTAGAAGTATCTGTTTTTATATTTGCTCTCAACCACTTTTCCATTTTTAATTTTTAATAATATTTAACACAACACAAAACCAACGATATCGAACAAAGAAACACGAATGTACGACTGTACGACTGTAATGCTATATCATTAAAGTTATCATCATTGTCGATAGTCTATAATTTTATTGCATTTTATCTCACATTAGATTCTTATCTCATTCTTATTAAATAAAAACTATCTAACATTAGACTTTATCGGCTATGATTAATCATATGGTCTGTTTAATAACTAAATAACCGAAAATATTTTTAAAAAGGAATAAATATTTCACGGCCCACCAGTCATATAGCCACGGCCCCCTAGGGGGCCGCGGCCCCCAGTTTGAGAAGCACTGTATTATATGATAGTTTTGGTATCTAATATGCTGTATTTCACATTTATAACAAAGAGATTTTTTGTTACATGCAATAATTTTTGATGACCACCAAGTTTTTCTTATATATGTTTGACCACATGAGTGAACCATATTGTCGATTATATATTTTTATATGCTAGAAGGTTGATTATTAAATATTTACTTACGGATTTTGATTTTTCTTGGCGATATCTTGGTGTGATGTACAATTTTATATAAGTTTAGGCTCGGGTAGTTAAAATGCAACTGACTGGCAAGGGATTGCTGTAGTTTTTTACGAATCTTTTGGCCTTTTTTGAGTTGTTGTTCTTTTTTTATTAGAGGGGTTGACCTATATTGGTGTTTATGGCTATTGAAACTGTAGTTTCTGTTAATAATGGTTAAGGATTTCTTTTCAGAGTTGCGTGGTTTTGTTACAATTCAATAGTAATGTTGGATTCTGAGGTGTACAAAGTAGGTACACCTGACATTCGAATTTTTTGATTTTGAGAAGTGAATGATTTGTAAAATGTAGAAAGAAAATTTAATATGTATTCTATACATAATTTTATTTAAAGGATTTTATGAATAATAGCTGTTTTAGAAATTTTTGTATGTTGTTGGATGTTGATTTGGAATGCTTATTACGCATGCCAAGTAAATAATTGATTATTGCATTCTCTACATCTGAAGAAGAAGTATTCAGTTTGCAGTACTTTAAACCAGTGATTTCCACTTATGGTTATTGTAATATTGACTTGTTTAGGTGTAGTGTTTTGATTTGAATTATGAAGAAATTGTTTTACATAACGTGTACATTCGGGTTTGTCGTGGACAATTAGGGACCAGTCCTGGCGAACTTTGAATTCTATGAAGTTAAAGTTGATTATGTTTTGGGTAGCGAACAGATTTCTATATTGTTTCATTTCTAAGTCTAGGTTAGCTATTGTATATGTATTTCTTATTGTTGCTAATTCCTCTGCAGTTTGATATGTAAAGGTATTAGGTGAATATCCTAATTCAATATCATCTACTAGTTTATGGATGACTTCTTTTATGACATTAAATTGTTCTAGATTTGGGTAGTCATTGATTGCACTGACTTGTCGTAAAGCTCGATCTCTATGTGTGTTAAATAATTTGTCAATGTGCATTATGTGAAGCGTAATTTTATGGAATACTATATCTCTATAATGTGAAGAGAAAAAAAATGAGAATGAATAGGTTTAGTTCTTTGTTTATTATTGATTAAAAATTATTATTTTTTTATTAGTAGTTATTTGTGTACTATGTTGAATTCGTGTATTAATGTTTTGTTTTCAATAATTATAATGACTATTATATATAAAAAATATATGTATATACACATACATACATACATACATATATATATACACATCGTATACGTTCTATGTTGTGTACAGTTATGTCTATTCATGATATTGTTTAGCATAGGATATAAAGAAAAGCTGCAATGAAGAAAGAAAGTGAGATTGTGATATGCTTTAAGTATGTTGTTGTTGATAGAACTGAAACTTATGTTTGGGTTGTTAATTTATGAATTGATGGCTGAATTATGATTGTTGTTATTTTTGAAAATTATTTTTATTCCTTTTGAAAGTATGTGAAAGAAAAAAAATTTGACTTATAATGATGGATTTCTATTGTGTTGTGCGTTTTGTTGCAGTAATGGATAAATGGAATTATGTTTTGAGTAAGACATGTTATATGGGCTACTATTTGTATGAAATTCTATGGTATTAATATTTTCTTGTTCATCTGCCATAGGTGCTGTTGAGTAATGTTCATTATATTTGGACTTAGAATAATTTTGTGTATGTTTTTGGTGCATGACATAATGTGTGATACTAGAGAATATGCCGGCTAATAATTTTATACTCCATCCAAAGGTATTGTATAAAATTGTTAGATTTATAAAAGTGTTTAAGCAAATTAATATTAATTTAGTTATAAAAAATATTCCAAGTAATCCACTAATGCAGTTCCCAAACCATAAAAACCAACCATATATTTTTTCTAATTTATTTTCGACTAATTTGTTTATAGTCATTTCATCTATTAGAGTTTTGAATCTAAGACCTTGATCAAGAATTGTGTAACCTAAAGTCTCACGTGCCATATTAGACTGTGCGGCATTTATTTCTTGTGGGAATAATAATTGGCGTTGGAACAAATTCATGTTTTCTTTAGAATATAGTCCTGCATTCATAAGGAATTCAGGACTTTTGTATTGCCAGGTAAATTCTATTTCAGGCATTAGAGTTTGGGGTGGTTGTATTTCTCTGAAATGAGGGTTTAGACTGAACCAGATATTTTCTATATTGAATGCGGATGGCATTAGATCACTGCAATCGATTTCTGTGCCGTGATTTAATAGGATATGATTTTTGGGTGATAAATATTTTGTGGAGTTTTCAAAGATAACTGGCAGTTTATTAAAACAATGTTCTGTTTTGGCAATTTGCACTTCACAGGTTTACATTTTAAAAGATAAATTATTTCTCCACTTTTAAGGCTGGCAAAGCCAGGTGAATCTGTCATGCTATAAGCGAATTCTGATAAGCTGTAGGATGCTATTGCTAATTTTTGTTTTAATATTTGTCTCTCTAAATGACATTGTTTCATTACGAGATCTGTATACATGGCTGTTACTGTTGAACTAAGGAAATTCTCTATGTAAACGAATTTGGTATTCATGTATGCTACAAGGTCAGTATTGAATACAGAAATTGGACGTGTTTTGAAATTAGACATGTATAATGGATCTAATAGTAAAAGTAAGCGATTGTGTTCTGTTGCAACTACCTCTATCGAGCAAATATAAGATAAACCNTACTACCTCTATCGAGCAAATGTAAGATAAACCTGTTTTTTTTAGAACAAAGGCAATTTTATCTGTCTGTACTATGTAAGTGTGAGTTTCTTCAATATCATTAAGTTTTTTAGAAATTACTAAATTAGCAGGGCCTTCATATAAAACATCATATTCCTTTGTATTGCAATTATCATCAGAAGGAGCATCATGATCCCATATCATGTGACCGTATATTGTATCTATTCCAAAATAGTTAGATAGTTTAAACTTTGATCCTGTGGGAGAAATAAGAATATCATCTTTATATGA